CTGGGTAGCAGTAACGTCATGAAAAGGAGAGGGATGCCAGGAGAACTGCTTAATCAGTCTATTAAAATGTTTGTTTGCAAGACAGGTTAGTGCACTGTAGGGATGTCATTGTGATGGGATGCCGCGCACCTGATAATTTCGCTGCCCGATTTACTTTTGCAGGAATAGTACACCTAAGAGTTGTACAAACTAAGTACAAACTAAGTTGCTGATGTGATAGCCTATATTTAAGATAAACAACACTGTCAAAAAAAACATGAATACAACTTACTGCACTGATGCATTCGTTTACTAGCTTTTTTTAATAAAATATTATGCAGTAGCATATTATCTTCATCAAAAATTAATACAATGAAAAATGTAAGCGGTTATTTTACATGTGACTGCATTCTTTCACATTCCTGAATGCTAACCTCACCTGTTAGACACAGACTTACTGGAAATACAAGTAATACATTTATATTGCTTGTAGGCCTACTTGTATTACTGGTATGTTTATTTTATTATTTTATTAATTTCTTGTCTTTTGTTGTTATTTTATTAGTTTGCACTGAATAATTGATTGATTACTTAAAACAGTGTTTCAAGTTATTAGTTGCTTATTGCAATTTTGATGTAATATTTTTTATCAACTTTGTATAGCCTATACATTTTTATAAAATATGCAAAAGCAACATTTATATTGCTTTTTAGACCATTCTGTTTTTGCTTCAAGTTTTATTGGCAGACAGCATAAAGACCTCCTCTGGAGATGTCTATTGTGCGAGTGACTCCCTCCGGACCTGAGAACGTACCAGATTCCGGCACATCACGGCATGGGTCTAATACACTTCAGTCTCCAATTAGAGAAAGACTAAACCACTGCTGGGAACATGGCAGAGCTCACTTGCCTATAATCAGCCACCTAAAATTGTATTTGCTAGGGTTTGGGTTTTAAAATGTTTTCTCATTTGTTGTTTATGTGATTAGTGCAATAAGAAACTAAATTCTTGAAGAATTGGCCACATTGATTTGTATTTGTCCTTGTTGTTGATTACTGTAGTTTTGAGGTTCAGTAGTCATTAGAGAGCTGATTATTAAAGACACAGCATGAAATTAATAACAAGCTGGGGTCTCATATGAAAAGTGCTATAGGGGACAAACGTGTGAAACAAAGAAATATTGTACACCCCTATTTATTTTTAGACATGCTTATTGAACTGATTTAGATCATGGCCACTAACAAAATAGTTATGTGCGCCTTTGGCAACAATGAGATAAAGACATGGTACAGACATGGACAAGAGATGGTACAGTTATTCATATAACCAGCATGGCGAATTTCTCAGCAATTTATTTTTGAAATATTAGATTGTATTTTGTTTTGTATTTCATACACTGGGTTTGATGAAACTAGCCAAAAGTTATTCTTTTTAGGGTGAGGAAACAGATCCGGCGTGACGCAACTGACACAGTACAGCATATGTTGTTTTACATCCAGCAGATATTCTCCAAAATGGCACCAGGGTGATGCGGAGGACAGACAGCTCTCAGATTCCATCAAAAATATCTTAATTTGTGTTCCGAAGATGAACAAATGTCTTACGGGTTTGAAACGACATGAGCATGAGTAATTAATGACAGAATTTTCATTTTTGGGTGAACTAACCCTTTAATAACATTCAACATTTGCTTTAAATCTATTTTGATTTGAATAATCTGACTTAAACTACCTGAAATATGATGTAATGTACAGTGCAAGTATCTGCATCTACATCACAGTGTATGCTTTCAGGACAGCATAAGTGATCACCAAGGTATTTTTGTAATGCTGTATATTGTCATGTCACATTAAACAATCTGTAAAGATCAGATTATCAAATTACATTTAAAATAAGGGTGAATTTGAAATAATAATTAATTTGGTTTGAGCGAACTTTTGCTATTTTCT